AGGGTTTCTAAGGAGCAGCTGATTGGCAGTCCAGTGCTGGTCCTATATTACCACACCAAGAGTCCACTAATAAGCAAAATCAAGTCCTCATTCTGGGGGCTTGAGTACTGGTTGAGGGAGACAGATAAGACAAGGTAAACAAATAACTGTGTATCATCTGTTAATGGAGTTCTGGTGTGGAGCTGTGGGTGAATGCGTCAGATTGCAAAGTCATTTGAACTGCAAACTGGTGGTTCAAACTCACCAGCTGCTCCTTGGAAACCCTATACAGGGTAGCTATGGGTCAGAAGCAACTCGATGGCACTTAACAACAACAACAACAACAACGGTCTATTAAGGAGCTCTGGTAGCATAATGAGTTATGAGATGGACTGCTAACCACAAGATCAGCAATTTGAGTCTACCAGCCTCTCTGTGGGAGAAAGATGAGGCTTTCTGCTCCCATAAAGATTGACTGTCTCGGAAACCATATGCAGGGTCGCTATGAGTCAGAACTGTCTCCCCAGGACATGGCCACCACCAGTATATAGTTTGTTAGAAAGTCGTGAGTACTATGGAGAATATAAAGAGCCAGTAGGATAGGGGACACCTAGGGGAGAAGCTCTGCAGTTTTAAATGGCATACTCAAGAAGGACTGACTTACCATCATGGAGGCAGGCAGATGTCAGGAAGAGCATTTCAGGTAGCAGGAACAGCAGGTGCAAAGGTCCTGGCATGCCTCTGTTCTCAGAGTAACTGGGGAGGAGTGAGTGAGGGGGACCCTGGTAGGACAGAAACTCAGAGTGGTAATGGTGTCCAGTGGGTGGAGCCCTGGTGGCACTGTAGAACTGCTAACTGCAAGGAAGACAGTTCAAACCCATCAGTGGTTCCACAGGAGAAAGGTGAGGCTTTCTGCTCCCATAAAGATTTACAGCTTGGAAAAGTCTGCCTACGGTTGCTTTGAACTGGCTTTTAGTTTGTTTCTCTCTGCGTGACTGACTGAGGACCTGGTTTGAATACTGGCTCTGCCATTTACAGGTCTGTGGCCTTGGGTTTCCCACCTTGCTTCTAGCAACCACAGTTTCCGCATCTGTCAAATGGCTGTGGGATTTCCCCTCCCAGTCTCAGCTGTGGTTTTAGTTATGTAATCGAATTCCTACAGGCAGGAGGAAAGCAGTGGGTAGCGCGCCCTCTACTGGAAGATGACAGAGTCATCCACCATGACCCTTTCTCCCATTCCTTCATTTTGCAAGGAGGAAAGTGAAAGTCAGAAGGAATCGTGAGGGGGTGGGGAATAAGGCAGTGGGGGGCGGGGGGGCGGAGGGAGATAAACTACAAAATACCGAATATTTCAGAAGCACCACACACATTTCCCCATTTAATCCTCATTATGACTCTGAAAGTTAGATTCGGTTAATTTTACTGAGCACCTACTGTCCCAGCAGAAATCGCTGTGCTTCTTATTCATTATTCGTTGACACTCCTATTTGATAGAAGAGAAACGACTCATACAAGAAAGGGGCAAACAAGCCTGGGTTGTGGGGAGGAAAGTGAATAAAGACCTCTCGGAAAGGGCTAAGGACCAGATCCATTCACAGTGGGACTGAGGGTGCCTGGGTCTCGGTCCGCGACCAGTCACCAATTCAGTTTGGGGAACTCATGGTTGGTTTCCAGTTTCCAGCACTCACTGGGTCACTCAGCTTCCTCGTCTGTGAAATGAGGACGATAACCCCATGCTCAATGTCAGAAGCATGGCCCAAAAGTGCAAGTTTTGCCGAGCGATGAGCGGGCGTCTCTCTCAGCGATGGCCACCAGGGGGCGCAAAACGATACAGGCTGGACTGCAACCGCGGAGATCCCTTCCCGCTGTCGGTCTGGGAGTCCCGGGAGTCTCTTCCCCACCACATTGGGGAGGACAAGGTCCCTTTGGACTTCAGCCTCCTTTTTACAGAGGAACAAAAGCTAGGTGAACACACACCCATCGCTTCTCTGCTCTGAGCCTATTATCACCCTCATTCCACAGGCGACAACAACAGGTAACAACAAAATCCTAGGTTTAGGAGACAAGAGGCACATTTCTGGTCATCCACATGTTGCAGACATCTCATATTGTCCAGGGTAGGAGCTACCTGACCAAGTTCACCACGAACCAGACCTGGCCGTGAACCCGGTGGCTCTCTGCTCTCTGCTCTGGCAAGTGACTTTTACTAAGAAGATCCGCTGAGCTGTTAGAAGGACCTCCTCTTCAAAGTGCAGCCCAGATGGGCCTGAAAGCTTGTGATGTGGTTATGAGTGAAGGAGAAATCTCGGCTGGAAAAATATTTGTGGGGAGAAAGCCCTTGACGCGTTCCCCATGAGCCATTTTTTAGCCCTGGTGATATAGTTAGGAGACCTGGTGGTTCAGCTATTAACTGAAAGGTCAGAAGTTTGAAGCCCCAGCCACTCCATGGAAGAAAGATGAGGCAGTCTACTGCTGTAAAGGTTACAGCCTTGGAAACCCTGTTATTGTTAAGTGCCGTAGAGTCTGTTCCGATCCATAGCGACCCTGTACAGGGTTTCCGAGGCTGTAAATCTTTATGGGAGCAGAAAGCCTCATCTTTCTCCCACGGAGCGGCTGGTAGTTT